AATGTAAGTGTTTTGGGGCTTTTAATATGAATATGTTAGCTTACTGTTACCTATAAGCTAGATAATTCGCATTTAGAAGATATAAGCATTCAAACGTCCAGTAAGTGATTATGATGACATCGTCTGCACTTTAGCCTTTTATCAGATTTTCTGGTCCAATCAAATGCTTTGAGAATCTGAGGAGCTCCGCCCCCTACATTATAAATAGACACTGAAGCTGTGGCTGAAATCAGACACTTGTTCACACATGTCCTATTTTCTACATGATGAATGGCACATTATGCACATACTGAACGATTCAGATAGTGTAAATATGCTTTCCATCGGGGCGAATGAAGTCTGGTTTAACGCGAACCTGCCGCAGCTTCAGTCCAGAGACACGATAGCAGAGAGCGGATCATTTGCGCGTTTCGGGGCACACCACAAAACGTATATGGAGCAGAAATGCGACTTTACTGAGCTCAACGGCTCTGGTCGAGCTGTGATATAAACTAAACGCTATCAGAGAATGTCTAATTGAAGAGAATTGGCACTGGCGGGTTACTTCCGGGTTCTGGACTGGCTGCAGTAACACGTCTCTGTCCATGTGGGGGCGCTCGCGGTCGAGTGCAAAATGAATTGGAGTCAATGGGGTTTCACCCCCTAATATCCACTTGTCTCAGGATGTAATTTTTTGTCAAGTAATTTGAAAGTTGCATTCAAAAGGAAAATACACTCAGCTGAAAATTGCATTTTTAAGTTCACTTATCTGTGCTAAAAATCCGTTCAAAACTGTGATGACGTCACACAATAGCAGAATGCTAGCGTGTTCTGGCCAACAACAGCCTAACCTGTAAGAAATCAAAAGGACATAAGCACTCGTTCATTCGACTTTTGGCCTATAATCTATATTGAACTTGCGGAATCAACAATAAAATTTATTTTGATTTAACGACAAGCAGGTGAAAGAGACACATTTAGCCGTTTAGCCCCATAGACTCCCATTCATTCTGCTCTCGCCCGTGATCACCTCCAGTGGAATTCTAATGGAACTGCAACCAAGGTGATACACAACGGGGATAATAGGAAGTGCCAAGGCTCTCCGTTAGACGGGCTCTGACGCTATTGGCTATTTAAAAAAAGGGGTGGAGCTGTTCGATATATCCCACCCTATCTTCCTGTTTCAGTGGAAATGACATCAACACACTGAATAATGCCTTTATGAGACTTTCTGGACCTGCAGCTGCACATCAGTTTCAGCTCGACTGAAGCATCATTAGCGATCCAACCAACAGCGGACCTCAATACAGATGATTTCAATTGACATTGTATCCACAGTTTTGCCACTAAGGGCTCTGTAACTGCTCCCTTCTATGCGTTTTTTTCTCTTTCAGGTCAATTTCTGTCATGGTCCATCAGCGGTTTGAAGGTAATCTGCATGCAGATCAATCTCAGCCATTCGATGAGCACGTTGAGTATTTACATTTGCATAGATGATTCTATGTTTCTCTCCTTACTGCATTCCTCTTCTCTGTTGAAATTAACTTGACATGGCAATGGTAACCATTTAACTTCCACAATTTGACGCATTCCTTAGTGAAATTTAAGCCATATTTGGATGGGACTAGTTTTCGAAACAATGTTTAGTTACAATTCTCATCTGTGATTTCATGTACCGTTTCGGAATGGACTGACGAGTTTATTACTGGGTGTTGGGAGTGTGTGTTTTTTAGATGATGGCGTTAGAAGGTCATGTGCTGTGCGTGACACTGATATTAAAATAAATCAATAAGCCCCTTAAAGCCATGTTTTAACAGTGTAGAACAGCTAAGTGGGGTTGTTACACTGTAAAAATTAATATGCTTTATCTAATCAAAAAAAATTGTGGCAACAGATTACAAGCAACAGATTACGAAATTATTTATTCACTCTTAGAAGAAATGGTTCTATTTAGAACCAGAAATGGTTCCATCCCCTGCTTCATATATGGAACTCCAAAATGGTTCTATATAGAACCTTTTTTTTTTTTGGTAAAAGGTTCTATGGAACCCCAGGGCTCTAAATAGAACCCAGAGGAACCCTTTTTTAAGAGTGTATAGAACCTTTTAGGGGTTCCAAATAGTTCTATATAGAACCTTTTCTTCTAAGAGTGATTAAATTTAACAAATTAGAATTGAGTAATAATTAATCAAATGAATTCCTTAAAGGTTAACCGTTTAAAATGAGTAAAACTTACAACCACAACAAAAAAAAAAACATAAATTTAAGTCACCATTATGGTGATCAGTGTTTGTTTTAGGTTTATTTTAAAATTATGGTTTTCTCCTTCCGTGATTCTGCTTGTTAACATCCGGTGTCTTCAATGTTCAATATAAAATAAAGAGTCATTAATTAATC